GGCTATATGTGAAGGAATCTTTGCCTTTGTGTGTATGTGTGTGCATGCATGACTGCGAGTGGCTGAGCATGCGTGTGTGTGTTTATGCATCTGTGTGTCTGTGTGCATGGCTGCAAGTGCGTGTGTGTGCATATAAATTTGCGTCACATGTATGGCTACGTGTGCATACGCGCGCGTGTGTGTGTGTGTACGTGCATACGTGTGTATGCTTAGTATGCACCAATCCAGCGCACATAGTTGTGAGCGGTCAGGTGCGTGTGTGTGTACGTGGTGGGGAGCGGTGGCGCAGTAGTTAGGGCACTGCGCTACGAAACGTGGCGACTCGACTTTGATTCGCGCTCACGGCCAACACCAGCGGCAAATATCTCAACCAGTCCTGGGCCTCCCCTAGGTCGACTCAGCCTTAACCCGTGCAGTGGTGGCACACGCCCGTGAACCGTTGCTGTGGAGGCAGCAGCGAGGGTTGATGGATCGCACACAGATGGGTTGTGAAACCCTCTTCCCGTGGGCGTCGAGGAGGTGCCGTATACCCCGGCTCGCCAGGAGGAGGCGGTACGGCCGGTGGACTAATCGCCATCTGTTTCCATCTGCAAGGGGGATGGAAAGAGATGGCCATGGGTTTTAGTCGTGCGTTCCGGTTTCTTCCCAAGTGCGTAAACTCACTGGGCCGACAATTTTAAACTTAAAACCCAACCAACGCTGCAGCGGCAGGACCCTCCTAACGAGTGAGGTCGGTGAAGCGAGCGCCCCTTGTCGCGGTGCGTTACGGTGAAATGTCCGCACCGCGCCCGGGGATAGACCGGTGTCGATCGCCGCCCTCTGCGCGACCGATGCTGGCGACAGGTTCACTCGTTTCGCGTGGAACTTTTTGTTTAGCGCACTTTGCCTCCCACCGCCCCCCTTGCCTCGTATGAAAGCCCTCGTCCCCCCCCCCCCCCCCCCCCCCCCCCGCTCGCAGTGCCCGCGTGAAGCCCGATCGTTCAGCCCTTCCCAGAGCCCAGGAGCACTTCCGTCCGTGGAATTTCTGTAACGCCCCCCAGCCCATCCCATCTCTTGTCGTGGTTCGTGCCTTTTACCACCAGGCTCTTAAAAAATTTTTTTTAAAAATTTAAAACCCCATCAGCATTGTGGGAAGACAAAGGCGGCCGGGCGTGGTATTGAACCCGTCCTGGTTGATGACGGCCCGCGGGCCCGGCCCCTCCCTTGGGTTTTGCGCGATGCGACGACCACCCGCTGACGGGTGATCGTCGCGGAGCTGAAATGAAGCCCGGGGTTCATTCATCAGCGGAACTCGGTGACCTCTCCCTCCGCTGTTGGCGTCGTCCGTCCGCCTCTTTGTCGGGAAGCGGCGATAAATATTTAACGAGACGTGCCCGTCGTTCCGCCCGTCGTTCCGCCCGTTGGAGCGGAGCGCGGGATCCCAATACCCCCAGGGTCGGCGACGCGCCCCTAAATAAAATCGGCGGCGGAGCGTCCGGGCCCCGGTCGAGGCTCGCCGGCATCGCGCGCGCCGGAGGCGGGCCTTGATGCACGCGGCCGGGAAACGGAACGCCTCCCGCTGTTGCGGCGAGCGAGCGCGGGAGTCTCGGGTCGGGCCGCCACCCTCCCCGCAATCGGAGGATCGTTCTCCGCCGGTTGGCGACGCGAGAGCCGAGTTGGCTTTTGGCAGAGTTTTGACGGAGGGCGAGGGTTTGCGCGCTCGCGCGCGTGCCTGCGTGCTCCTCCCCCCACACCCCCCCCCCCCCACCGTCACCCCCCACCCTCCTCCTCTACCCAATCTGCTGCCTGTCATCCCGAGACTCGGCACCCCCCCCCCATCCCCGTCATCCTCGTTTCTGCTCTCGCTCGCAAAACACTGACGTGAACCCCTCCCTCGCTCCCCGGGATGTGAGACGGGCAGAAGGAGGCAGCCTGGCTCGAGGCCTACGTTGTTTTGTGAGAATAAATAATGTAGGCTCGGGGTGGGGGGGCGGGGGGGGGGCGGGGGGGCGTGTTTGCTTTGATCTGCGCGCCGCTCTCGCGCGGCCCCTTTGGCGCGCGGAGCCCGGCTCCGTCTCCGAGGGGCCACACCAACTCCGCTAATATCGCTGATTTGTTTTTAATGATTAATTAACGAGGGCCCCATGAATTATTTACCCGCGCTAATTCAACGCGCGTGCGAATTAATGGCGCGCGCGCCAACGCGTTCCGCACCGCCGCCGCCGCCGCCGGTGCGGACGCCCGAGGAGCGGTAAACAAACGGGCCCGTCCGGGGAGCACCAGGGGCCAGCATTGTGGGGTTAGCGACCGGGGAAGAGATGGGGAAGCACCGGGGAAGCATGTGGGGTTAGCACGAGGAAGAGATGGGGAAGCACCGGGGAAGCACTGGGGAAGCATGTGGGGTTAGCACGAAGAAGAGATGGGGAAGCACTGGGGAAGCACCGGGGCAGCACCGGGGAAGCATGTGGGGTTAGCACGAGGAAGAGATGGGGAAGCACTGGGGAAGCACTGGGGAAGCACCGGGGAAGCACCGGGGAAGCACCGGGGAAGCATGTGGGGTTAGCACGAGGAAGAGATGGGGAAGCACTGGGGAAGCACCGGGGAAGCATGTGGGGTTAGCACAAGGAAGCACCGGGGAAGCACCGGGGAAGCATGTGCGGTTAGCACCGGGGAAGAGATGGGGAAGCACCGGGGAAGCATGTGGGGTTAGCACGAGGAAGAGATGGGGAAGCACCGGGGAAGCACTGGGGAAGCACCGGGGAAGCATGTGGGGTTAGCACGAGGAAGAGATGGGGAAGCACTGGGGAAGCACCGGGGAAGCATGTGGGGTTAGCACAAGGAAGCACCGGGGAAGCATGTGCGGTTAGCACCGGGGAAGAGATGGGGAAGCACCGGGGAAGCATGTGGGGTTAGCACCGGGGAAGAGATGGGGAAGCACCGGGGAAGCACCGGGGTTGAACAGGGGAGCGCGACGAAGCGCAGCGGTGAATGGGTAAGCGCAGCGGAAGCGAACGGAGGCAGACTGTGCGGCGGTAACCACGGGCGGCTCTCGTGTCTTCCGATGGCGCTCGCGAAACGCAAGGCACGGCTCGTGTCACGCGTGACGGGACGGAGAGGAGGGAGCAGAGGGAGAGGAGGGAGCGGGGGAAGAGGAGGGAGAGGAGGGAGAGCAGGGAGCGGGTGGGCCTGTCGGATTCGGGGATTTGCAGATTGCGAGCGCGTGCGGCGAGGCGGCGGTGGTGGCGGGACGGGGCATGGCACCCGCGTGCCCGCGCATATCTCCGAGTGCAAATGAGGGAGCGGCCGCGTCGGCTGGGGGAAACGCCTGTGGCACGGCTGGTCCGTGGCCCTCTCTCCCCTGGCAGCTCACCGTGGATGTGCCCATTCCTACGACACTGCTTGTCCCCAAGACCCACCGACTTGGCAACGACAAACAACACAGCAATAATATTGCTAATGGCTGGCCTGTACCCGTGTGTGTATTCGCGTGAATGTGTGTTGTGTTTGGTGTGTAGCTTTGTGTATTGTGTGTCCGTGTGTGTACGTGTGTGTACGTGTGTGTGCAGCGCGCAAATGTGTGTCGTGTGAGGTGTGCGAATGTGTGTGTGTGTAGAGTGGTGTGTGTGTGAGCGTGTGTAGTGTGTGTGTAGTGAGCAGTGTGCACGATCTCACATGTACACACACGTCCTCACACACACACACACGTTCTCACACACACACACGTTCTCACACACACACACGTTCTCACACACACACACATGCTCTCACACACACGTTCTCACACACACACACGTTCTCACACACACACACATGCTCTCACACACACGTTCTCACACACACACACGTTCTCACACACACACACGTTCTCACACACACACACACGCTCTCACACACACACATGCTCTCACACACACACACGTTCTCACACACACACACGTTCTCACACACACACACGTTCTCACACACACACACGTTCTCACACACACACACACGTTCTCACACACACACACACACGTGGTTCCCCGACCGCCTCCATTCCCTCATCTAATTCATCCTGGAGCCGCCATTTCGGTGGCTCCAGTATGGCGGTGTTGCTGTGGTGATGTCCCGGCGCTCCCCCTCGGTCTTTACGCAGCTCCTCTCCCGCCCGCCCAGTGCCGCGCGGCAGCTGCAGCCGGTGCCCGCGCGAGCCGCGATGCCCATGGCAGTGGCACAAGCGCTCGCACATTCACGTCGCCAGGCACGGGCCCTGCCCGGTCTCTCGCACATCTCCTCCCCCTCCGCTCCCTGTCCCCTCTCTCTCCGTGCTGTCTCCTCCCTCCCCTTCCCTCTCTCCCTGTCTCTTCTCTCCCTGCTGTCTCCCCGTCTCCCGGTCCCCGGTCTCCCCGCTGTGCCTCCCCCTGCCCTCTACGTCTGCTGCGTTCCCGTTTCTCCGTCTCGCTCATTCAGCCTACCGTGTTTAACCAGGAGAGCGAATTGGCTCATTGTTGAGACGCTCGTGCGCACACAACATGAGCGCTGGGTGAGACAAAGGCGGCCGGGCGTGGTTACTTTCCACGGCTCCTGCCCCTCGTGCGCTGTGCCGGCCTTCATCGGTGCTACACGCTAACGGCACTTGCCCCTCTCTAACAGCACTTGCCCTAACAGCCTGTTCAGGCTATAGGAGGGGGGGGGGACTTTTGTCTTTGTCCTGCGTCTGATAATCGACCTCCACATGGGGAAAGAGAAACATTTTAATGGGGGGAGGGGGGGGGGGGTCTGGATCTTCTAAGCCCCCCAAAAGTTACGAGGGTCGATGAGAGTGTTCCGAGTTGTTTGCCACTTGAAGTTTGATGAGCAGGCAGTACGCCTTTGTCCGGCTCTCCACGTAGAGCAAAATGACGTCATGTTTTTGGTGTCAGCTGTTAGAGGTTGTGGGCCGTGGTGGTGGTGGTTGTGGTGGTCGTGGTGGTGGTTGTAGTGGTTGTAGTGGTTGTGGGCCGTGGTGGGTAAGTCGCTCGCCCCCTCTGTGCTGTGAGCAGGAAACTCAGCCCCCCCCCAGCACATCATGTCCCCCCCGGGGCCCGAGGGAGGCATGGGTCTCCAGGACGGGAAGACCCCTCCTCCGCCACCCAGCGAGAACAAGTCTAAGGTGCGTGGCAAGTGAGGACCGACTCGCTCTGGCTCGCTCGCTATTACTCGCTCTCACTCGCACGCTCGCTCGCTCGCCCTCACTCGGACGCTCGCACACTCACTCGCTCTCACTCGCACGCCCACACGGTCGCTCTCACGCTCTCACTCCCTCTGACTCGCACACTCACGCTCGCTCGCCCGCTCGCACACTCACTCGCTCTCACTCGCTCTCACTCGCACGGTCACTCGCTCACTCGCTCGCCCTCACTCGGACGCTCGCACACTCACTCGCTCTCACTCGCACGCCCACACGGTCGCTCTCACACTCTCACTCCCTCTGACTCGCACACTCACGCTCGCTCGCCTACTCGCACACTCACTCGCTGTCACTCGCCCTCACTCGCACGGTCACTCGCTCACTCGCTCGCCCTCACTCGGACGCTCGCACACTCACTCGCTCTCACTTGCACGCCCACACAGTCGCTCTCACACTCTCACTCCCTCTGACTCGCACACTCACGCTCGCTCGCCCGCTCGCACACTCACTCGCTGTCACTCGCTCTCACTCGCACAGTCACTCGCTCGGTCTCACTCGGACGCTCTCACACTCACTCGCTGTCACTCGCTCTGACTCGCACGCTCACGCTCGCTCGCACATTCACTCACTGTCACTCGTATGCTCACTCGCTCTCACTCGCACGCTCGCTCGCTCTCGCTCACTCACACTCGCACACTCACTTGCTCGCACTCACTCTTTCACTCGCTCAGGTTAGGTGCATATTCAATGCAGCCTCGCCTGCTGGAGGAGCTCACCGATGGGAACGTGTCCAGATCTTTCAAGAATCTGTGAGCTCCTCACACAAATCCAGCCTGGTGACAGCCAGGATGGATCATGGGCAAGCCAGCCTGAATGTTACAAAACTGGCACAGACGGTCCTCCAGAGGAGATGAGGTTTCACGGCATAGAGAAGGAAGGGCATAACTATGGCCGGGAAGACCTGGGCCTTCGTATGGCGCGATTGGCCAGATAGCTTCCACACAGCGTTACGTAGTCGATGAAAAGATAATGGCGCGCGACTGACTCCAACACGCTCGCACTCGCGCGTGGACCCACACTCAGACTCGCACAAAGACAAAGTCCGCCGTGTAGCCTCCAGAGGCTGTTAGGGCAAGTGCTATTTGCGAGCACCCGTGCAGGCTGGCGTGGCACATAAACGGGGGTGGGTGGCCATCATCGCATCCAAGCCGCCTTTTTGTCTCTAATGCTGATGCTTACACACTGCGTCAGGTATTCATTTAAGGCTAAGTCGACCTAGGGGACAATTGGGACCAGTTCAGGTATTCGCCACCGATGATGGCTGTGGGAATCGAATTCGGGTCTCTGGATTCGTAGGACAGTGTGCTAACCTTTATACTACCGATCTAAAACAAAGACAAAGATCCCCCGTATAGCCTTAACAGACTGTCAAGGCAAGTGCTGTTAGCAAGCACCTATGAAGGCCGGCAAGGGACACGAAGTGGTGGGTGGCCAGCACCACGCCCGACCGCCTTTGTCTCCCCAGTGGCGATGATTTGACACACCGCACCAGTTACTGATTTGAGGCTGAGTCGACCTTGGAGAGCCCCAGGACCGGTTCAGATAATCGCCACTGGTGTTGGCCGTGAGCGGATATTTGCGTTCGTAGCGCATTGCACAGTCTCACGCACACTCTCACACACACGCGCACGCTCACACACACGCACACTCTCACACACGCACACACTCTCACACACGCACACACTCTCACACACGCACACACTCTCACACACGCACACACTCTCACACACGCACACACTCTCACACACGCACACACTCTCACACACGCACACACTCTCACACACACGCGCACAGTCTCATGCACACGCACAGTCTCACGCACACTCTCACACACACGCACAGTCTCACGCACACTCTCACACACACGCGCACAGTCTCACGCACACTCTCACACACACACGCACAGTCTCACGCACACCCTCACACACACGCGCACACTCTCACGCACACTCTCACACACACTCTCACACACACGCTCTCACGCGCACACTCTCACGCGCACACTCTCACGCACACTCTCACACTCTCACACACACTCTCACACACACTCTCACGCACACTCTCACGCACACTCTCACGCACACTCCCACGCACACTCTCACGCACACTCTCACGCACACTCTCACGCACACTCTCACACACACTCCCACGCACACTCTCACGCACACTCTCACACACACTCTCACACACACTCTCACACACACTCTCACGCACACTCTCACGCACACTCTCACACACACTCTCACGCACACTCTCACTCTCACTCCACCTCCTCCCGTGGCCTCTCGCCCTGCCCCATTACGCTCGGCCTTCTCCCGCATCTGCGACCCGCGTGGACACACGCGGGTTAATGCGCAGCCTTGGCCCAGGCTCCCCCCCCCCCCCCCCCCCCCCGATGCCCTCCCCCACTCCCCACGGGGACGGCGGTTGCCAGGCGCGTTGCCGAGCGACGGCGGCTTGGGCTCTGGGTTTCCGTGCCGACGCCACGGTCCATGAGTCCCGGCGAGCGGCGGCGCTGTCTTTGTGCCGTGGCCGGAGGGCGAAGGGGCGAAAGGGCCAGGAACCGGACTCGTACCCCCCCCCCCCCCGTCCGTGGCCCCCCCTCCGTTCCAGCGAACCCTTCAGGCCTACTCGGCCACGGCGCCCTGTAGGCCTCGTTGTGTGCAGCCGTTGCGGGCAACGTGCATCACGATTTGTGTGAAGCACGAGAGAGAGAGAGAAGCGAGTTAAAGAGAAATCACGGAGCAGGGGGTCAATGGTCCCATAGGGGTCACGGCACCTTAATAGGGGTGACGGTTCCTTAATAGGGGTCACGGTTCCATCATAGGGGTCACAGTTCTATCTTAGGGGTCACGGCTCCATCATAGGGGTCACGGTTCCTTAATAGGGGTCACGGTTCCATCATAGGGGTCACGGTTCTATCTTAGGGGTCACGGCTCCATCATAGGGGTCACGGTTCCTTAATAGGGGTCACGGTTCCATCTTAGGGGTCACGGTTCCTTAATAGGGGTCACGGTTCCATCATAGGGGTCACGGTTCCATCATAGGGGTCACGGCTCCATCTTAGGGGTCACGGCTCCATCTTAGGGGTCACGGCTCCATCTTAGGGGTCACGGCTCTATCATAGGGGTCACGGTTCCATTATAGGGGTCACTGTTCCATTATAGGGGTCACGGTTCCATCATAGGGGTCAAAGTTCCATCTTAGGGGTCACGGTTCCATCATAGGGGCCACGGCTCCATCTTAGGGGTCACGGTTCCATCATAGGGGTCACGGCTCCATCTTAGGGGTCACGGCTCCATCTTAGGGGTCACGGTTCCATCATAGGGGTCACGGCTCCATCTTAGGGGTCACGGTTCCATCATAGGGGTCACGGCTCCATCTTAGGGGTCACGGCTCCATCTTAGGGGTCACGGTTCCATCATAGGGGTCACGGTTCTATCTTAGGGGTCACGGCTCCATCATTGGGGTCACGGTTCTATCTTAGGGGTCACGGTTCCATCATTGGGGTCACGGTTCCATCTTAGGGGTCACGGTTCCATCATAGGGGTCACGGCTCCATCTTAGGGGTCACGGTTCCATCATAGGGGTCACGGTTCTATCTTAGGGGTCACGGTTCCATCATTGGGGTCACGGTTCCATCTTAGGGGTCACGGTTCCATCTTAGGGGTCACGGCTCCATCATAGGGGTCACGGTTCCATCTTAGGGGTCACGGCTCCATCATAGGGGTCACGTTTCCATCATTGGGGTCACGTTTCCATCATTGGGGTCACGTTTCCATCATTGGGGTCACGTTTCCATCATAGGGGTCACATTTCCATCATTGGGGTCACGTTTCCATCATAGGGGTCACGTTTCCATCATTGGGGTCACGTTTCCATCATATAGGGTTCACGCGTCTCTGTCCCCCGTCGCCGTCCCCCACCCCCCGCCCCGGCAGAAGTCCGGCTCGTCCACGACGACGGGCGAGAGCATCAGCCGGCTGTACGAGCTCGGCTGCGAGCCCGAGCGCCGCCTCTGGGTAGACCGCTACCTCTCGTTCATGGACGAGCGCGGCACGCCGGTGCCCGCGCTGCCGGCCGTCGGGCGCAAGCCGCTCGACCTCTACCGCCTCTACGTGTCGGCGCGCGACATCGGCGGACTCACGCAGGTGAGCCCCCGCCCGTTCCCCTCGGGCCGCCGGTGCCGGACGCGGCCGGAATCACGGAATGGCCGAAAACCACGGGGCAGGCCGCCATCGCGGCACGCGACCGGAGCCCACGGGTGCAGCGCTGGAACCGTGGTGCGGCCCGGAGCGTGGTACGGCCGGCCACCGACCTGGCGCACGCCGGCTCTTGCGCTCGCGCGCGCGAGGCCACCATCGCCATCCTCGCCATCGGTCCACTGACGGGCAAAGGCCTCGCCCAAGTCGCGGTCTCGCGGCGCAAACGCTCCACTCGGAGCTCCGTCTCCTTCGGCTGCCGCTCTCCAGTTATTCCTGGCCACGGGCCATCATTCCTCCTGGCGATGTGTTCCGGGGGCTTACCCACTTGCTGCGCAATCATCGTTGAAAAATTAATGAGCTGTGAGCCTGGCTAACTGCACGCGTGCGCGTGTGTGTGTGTGCGTGTCTTCGGGGAGCGGTGACGTAGCGGTTAGCGCGCTGCGCTATGAACCCGACGACCCGGGTTCGATTCCCGCTCACGGCCAACACCAGTGACGATTATCTGAACCGGTCCTGGGCCTCCCCTAGGTCGACTCAGCCTCAAATGAGTACCTGGTGTGGTGGATAAAAACATTGCCACTGGGGAGACTAAGGCGGTCGGGCGTGGTGCTGGCCACCCACCCCCTCGTGTACCGTTCCGGCCTTCATAGGTGCTCGCTAACAGCACTTGCCCCTACAGTCTGTTAAGGCTATGCGGGGGATCTTTGTCTTTGTCTTCGCACACGCGCCTTGTACGAGTACCTGGCGCGGTGTGTAAGCATCCGCACTGGGGAGACAAAGGTGGGCAGGCGTGGCGTTGGCCACATCACCCCATCGCGCACCGTGCCACCCTTAATGGGTGCCACTCCCTAACGGCCGCTCGCTGTACCGATTCACGGTTCGAATCCATCCGGCCGCCCTGATTAATACTGCGGGTCTCTTAACAGATCAGCGCGGTTGGGGCTACGTACGGCACGAAAGACGTTCCAACGGACACATGTACAACCGTTGACGTCCGCGACGGGGCCGCCCGATTCTCACAGCAGTTGGGCGGACGTGAAAGATCCTGCGACAGCGAGAGGAGCCGGCCATTGTCCGTTACCGGCGCCGCGGTGCCAATTAGACAAATTTGAAAAAATGACACCGCAAAATACTCACTGGGAGTACAGTCTAATTAATTGCATTGTATATCTAATTGCTAAACCAAATGTAACAATTAGTTACGTTTAACTGGTATCTAATTGGTATCTAATTGTTATCTAATTGTTATCCAATTGGTATCCAATTGGGCCTAATTGCTCTTGCTGGCTGTGAGTGCTCTTCTATAACTTCACCGGCGAGCTAAAACGATGACGAATCGGCGCGTCGTTAAACGCTCGCGCGCGTCACAATTTAACTCGTTTGGCCGTGTCGCTGAGTGGGGAGGGTCTTGCGACGGGAATCTGGCGACATCGTTATGGCGCCTAACGCAAAAAAAATGAGACGTCGCGATTCGAGTCCGACGGCAGCTGACCGTGCCGTGCTGACGAGGACAACACTGGCCTGCAGCTGTGACTTAAGTCTCGCCGCCGGAGCGTGTCGTTGGGATGTGGCCGCGCCTTCTCAACTCCTTGCGAGTCCGCGGTTCTAGGCGACGGTATCTCCACGCGCTCAACTCCTTCGAGGCGGTGGCCTGGACGAGGCTGAGAGCTGCGGGGACGTTGCGACGCTTCTCCCGGCGCGCTGTGCGCGCCCGGCCGCAGCTTGGGGGTCGGCGTTTACCCTACGGCCGTACGACCGCTGACCCCGTCGCCGTTGACCCCTTCCCCCTCCCCCCCCCCCCCCCCCGCAGGTGAACAAGTGCAAGAAGTGGCGCGAGCTGGCGACGGGGCTGGGCGTGGGCACGTCGAGCAGCGCCGCCAGCTCGCTCAAGAAGCAGTACATCCAGTTCCTGTTCGCCTTCGAGTGCAAGGTGGAGCGCGGCGAGGAGCCACCCTCCGACCTCGTCAACCCGCCCGTGCCGGCGGCCGACGCCAAGAAGCACGCCGCCAAGGTGCAGCCGCCGTCGCCCGGTGAGACCCCCCCCCCCAAGCCCCCTAAGCCCCCGCCGCCCCCGCCGCGACGCAACCCGGATACGGGCCGGCGTGCCGTGGCCGCGTTTGGCCGTGCCGCTAGAGGCCGGCCACGTCGTTTTGTGTTTCCGGCCACAGCACTTGCGGCCGGGCGCGTGTCTTGTACTCGGCCGCACCGATCGTGATAGAGGCGGCCTCGCCGCTTATGAACCGCCTGTAGCCACCCTCGCTCGCCACTGCTGCACCCGTGCCACGGTAATCCGCCCCACCACCACAGGCCAACCCCGGGTCACTCTTGCAAACGAGCACCCCCCCCCCCCATCCTGGTCTCTTTGAGTTCCCACCTGGTCACAAAAAATTGGCGTGAAACTCCGCTTACGCCCGGCTACACCGCTCACATCCGCCAGGGCGGGTGGGGGGGGCGGTGTCCAGGGCCCGGGGAAAATCCCACACCGCGTGGGGCCCTCCGACAGATTCAAACTAAACCGGAAATATTATATCTGACGTCGGAGCGACAGCCCCCCCCCCCCCCAAAGCGTGGGGCCCGAGGCGATCACCCCTATTCGGCCTCTCCCTAGGGACGGCTCTGACAGTCGGCCCCACCGCCTCCATTTCTCTCCACCAGCACCTTAGCCGCTGTGCCTTGCGCGGTCGGTGCGGAGAATTATCCGCCGCAGTCGCCCCACACTGGCTTCGCCGCCAACCTACTCGTAGCTGCCGGCCGACCTGAACCCTAGACGGCTTGACCCGACCTGACCGAACGGGCCCGAACACACGCAGATGCGAGGTCTACGGACGAAGATCAGGTGCTCTTCAGCGTGCGAGTGTGCGTCCGTGCGGAAGCACGTGCCTGAACAACCGGCGAGTAACTCCGATGTCGCAGAGCTCACAATCCTCACGCGGCCCCAGCAGCAGTCAGCAGCAGCAGCAGCAGCCTCCGCCAGAGCTGAGCTGAGCGAGCGGAGCGCGTGAGTGAGAGCGAGCAGAGTGCACGCGCGCGTGCGTCTGTTTGTCATGTTCTATTTTTGGCATCTGCGTTCCCAGGAGGATAGAGCTGAGGGGAGGGAGGCTTGGAGCGATCGGTGGTAGGGATGGCGCTGGGTGGGGGTTTGTTTACAATCTTGGCTGGAGAGGTGAAATGGGTCCACACTGCTTGGCCAGGAACCAGACTTTGTAAATCAATTACTCGGCAGACACGAGGAAAGACACCCACCCTCGTGTGTGTGTGTGCACGTGTGTGTTTTTTCACCCGGTGATGTCACACATCCTTAAGCCTTGGGGGGTGGGGTGGGGGAGCGGGGATGATTTGTGATGTCATTGGACAGTCACTGGCTGACTCTCCTAGCCCGTGATGTAATCTCGGCGTGACGTCACCCGCCCGCTCTCATCTCCCCGTGCATGTAGCGCGTGGGGGGGAGGAGGATGGGGGGGGGAAGCTGTGGGGGGGGGGGATAGGTGGGTGGTGGTGGCTGGGGGAGGCGGGGGAGTTAGCGGCGGTGGGGGGGGGGGAGCGTGTGGGGAGGGGTGTAGGGATTACAGCTTTGTGTGCGAGCCCGTGAGGCGGTGTTGGAATGTTCGGGGAATCCCTGGGGCAGCCACAGACAGGTGGGGGAAGTGGTGGGGGGTGTGTGCAGCGGTAAGCCGGATGTTGCTGTGGCTGAACATAGAGATAAGAATGTAAACAAAGCGGCGGCGATTGACCTTTGCCTGGCCTCTCCCCTGCCACGCGGTGGCGGCGGTGGCTCCACGGCAAGCGGCTAACCGGCACAGCCTGCCGATCGCCCCCCCTCCGTCTCCTCGAACCCCACGGGCGGGGCCCGGCACGGCGCCGTGCCGGGCGACGGTGCCGCGCCCGTGCCGGCGGTTGTCACCGCGCCGCCGCTCGTTTGCCCCGCACAGCCGCGGTGGGTCTCGAGACCTCTGCGTGTTTATTTTATTTCGGGGATGAAGTCCCCAGCGAGGGTCTTGCAGTCGAGATGGAGAAGTCTTTTGCCACTGCCACCACGACCGCCGCCGCCGCTACCACAACGACCACTGCCATTGCTACCGCCGCCACCGCCGCCGCCACCGCTGCCACCTCCTCGCTCACCATGTGGTCTCTCCTCCACCAAATCCCACAGCTACAGCTGCTGCTGCACAGGAGACCCACAAAGCCACCACCAAGATCTACTCTCAGACTCAGAGCCATAGACTCATACAGAGACCCATAGGCTCACACAGAGACTCGGCAAGCAGCAAACGCGAGACTGCTCGGCGCCACAAACCCAGTGACCCCAGTTCGATTCCCGCTCACGGCCAACATCGGTGACAGATATCTGAACCAGTCGTGGGCCGTCCCCTAGGTCCGCTCGACCTTAAATGAGTACCTCGTGCGGTGTGTAAACAAATGCGGCCAGGCGTGGTGCTGGCCGTCCACCACCTCGTGCGTTGTGCCGTACTCGCTGGCTTAACAGCACTCGCCCCGGCAGTCCGTGAAGCTTATACGGGGGACCTTTGTCTTTGCGTGTGGCCACTTGGCAGCCGGCTCGGGCTCCATGCAGGGTCCCCAGACCCCGCAGTCGACCAGCAGCTCCATGACGGAGGGGGCGGCCGAGATGAAGCCCCCCACTCCGGCATCCACCCCACACAGCCAGCCGCCCCCCACCGTGGGAAACAGGTGCGTACTGGCACACACGCACGTACACATGCACACGCACGTACTCACGCGCACGCACAGACACGCGCAGACGCACGCGTACACACAGACGAATGCACACGCACGCGCGCACACGCGTACACGTGCACACGCGTACACGCGCACACGCGTACACACACACAATTGTAAATGCACGCACACGCAGGTACATGTACATGCATATAAAGTCACAGGAAAAGATCTCCCAAATGGGCTTTAACAGACTGTGCTGTTAGCCGGCACGGTACACGAAGGGGGGTGGTTGGCCAACGCCCAGCTCGGCCGCCTTTGTCTCCCCAGTGCTGGCCGGCCGTGGTTATCGGCAGATCATCCTCTTGTGTGTGTGTTCATGTTCACGTGTATGTTCGTGTGTGTGTGTTCATGTTCACGTGTATGTTCTTGTGTGTGTGTGTTCATGTTCACATGTGTGTTGTTGTGTGTGTGTGTTCATGTTCACGTGTATGTTCTTGTGCGTGTGTTCATGTTCACGTGTATGTTCTTGTGTGTGTGTGTTCATGTTCACGTGTTTGTTCTTGTGTGTGTGTGTTCGTGTTCACGTGTATGTTGTTGTTGTTGTGTGTTCATGTTCACGTGTATGTTCTTGTTTATGTGTGTTCATGTTCACGTGTATGTTTTTGTGTGTGTGTGTGTTCATGTTCACGTGTGTGTTGTTGTGTGTGTGTCCATGTTCACGTGTCTGTTGTTGTGTGTGTGTTCATGTTCACGTGTATGTTCTTGTGTGTGTGTGTGAATGTTCACGTGTATGTTCTTGTGTGTGTGTTAATGTTCACGTGTATGTTCTTGTGTGTGTGTGTTAATGTTCACGTTTATGCTCTTGTATGTGTGTTAATGTTCACGTGTATGTTCTTGTGTGTGTGTTAATGTTCACGTTTATGTTCTTGTGTGTATGTGTTCATGTTCACGTGTATGTTCTTGTGTGTGTGTGTTCATGTTCATGTGTATGTTCTTGTGTGTGTGTGCGTTCATGTTCATGTGTATGTTCTTGTGTGTGTGTGTTCATGTTCACGTGTATGTTCTTGTGTGTGTTCATGTTCACGTGTATGTTCTTGTGTGTGTGTTAATGTTCACGTGTATGTTCTTGTGTGTGTGTAAATGTTCACGTGTATGTTCTTGTGTGTGTGTAAATGTTCACGTGTATGTTCTTGTGTGTGTGTGTGTTAATGTTCACGTTTATGTTCTTGTGTGTGTTAATGTTCACGTGTATGTTCTTGTGTGTGTGTGTTAATGTTCACGTGTATGTTCTTGTGTGTGTGTTCATGTTCACGTTTATGTTCTTGTGTGTGTGTGTGTTCATGTTCACGTGTATGTTCTTGTGTGTGTGTGTGTGTTCATGTTCACGTGTATGTTCTTGTGTGTGTGTGTGTTCATGTTCACGTGTATGTTCTTGTGTGTGTGTGTGTGTTCATGTTCACGTGTACGTTCTTGTGTGTGTGTGTGTTCACGTGTATGTTCTTGTGTGTGTGTGTTCATGTTCACGTGTATGTTCTTGTGTGTGTGTTCACGTGTATGTTCTTGTGTGTGTGTTCATGTTCACGTGTGGGGGCGTGGTTGGATAGTGGTTAGCGCTACGCTGCGCTCTGAACTAGCTTAAACGGTCCCGCGCCTCCCCTAGGTCGACTCAGCCTTGAAAGAGCACCTGGCACGGCGTGAGAGCATCAGCACACGGGCAGGCGGGCGCGGTGCCACGGACACGCTGCCCCGTGCCGCCCTTCAGAGGCGCTCGCTTGCCCCAACAATGTGCTAAGGTGTGTGTGCGGGCGATCTTTGTCTCGGTCTGCGTGCGCCAGGAACAGCACCATCAGCCTGCAGGACCCCTTCTCGGAGAACGGGGACCCGGCCTTCCAACGCCGCAACGCGCTCACCCCCAACCCCACCAGCGCCCCTTACCACAGCCTCACCCCGCCCGCCGGCGGGGGGCCCGACGCGCTGGCGCGGGCGGCCTACGAGCAGGGCCGGGCGGAGGGGCAGTACGGTGCCCCCCGCGACCCCCGCGACCCCCGCGACCCCCGTGACCCCCGCGACCCCCGCGACCCCCGCGACCCCTACAACCCCATGCGCAAAGGTACGGAGAGTGCGGGGAAAGGGGGGGGGGCACAGATAGGGGGGCTTTGTTAGAGGGGGGGCACTGAGGGGGGGAGCATTGTGAGAGGGGGGGGCTCTGTGAGCGTGTTCTCTGTATGTAGCGTGCTCTCTGTATGTAGCGTGTTCTCTATGTATGCAGTGTGCGGTGTTTATCTGTATGTAGCGTGTTCTCTGTATGTAGCGTGTTCTCTGTATGCAGTGTGTGGTGTTTATCTGTGTACAGTGTGTTCTCTGTATGTAGCGTGTTCTCTGTATGTAGCGTGTTCTCTGTATGTAGCGTGTTCTCTATGTATGCAGTGTGCGGTATTTATCTGTGTGTAGCGTGTTCTCTGTGTGTAGCCCTGTCTACATAGCGCCCTCTGGCTCTCTGTGCGGGGAGGTGTCGTGATTAACGAGCGTGCTCCGCCCCCCCCCTCCATGTCCGTCGCCCACTCCCAGCGGTCCCCGTGCCCGACCCGTACGGCTCCCAGGGCCCGTCGGCCCGGCTGCCTCCCGACCCCTACGGCCGGGGGCCTCCCACGGGCCTGGCCGGCCTGGGCAGCATGAGCCAGAGGCACCCGTACCCCTACGCGCCGGGCTACGACCGCCGGTGAGGTTCTCCGCCCCCCGGCCCACTCTCACCGATCACGACAGTTCCGCCTCCTGGCACAACTCGCCCCCCGCGCAGAGACGACGCTTCGTCGCGATTGGACGTCGCTGTTCATGCAAGAGTCGATTCGCTTCTCGCGCTGGCCAACCCCACCCCCCCCCCCCCCTCGTGTGCCGTTTACGGCCTTCGTAGGTGCTGCTCGCTAACGGCACTTGCCCCAGGCAGTCTGCGTGAAGGCTCTAAGAGGGGGACCTTTGTCTTTGTATTCCCTGTGGCGGGGAGCGGTGGCGCAGTGGTTCACGAACCCGACGTGCCGAGTTCACTTCCCTCTCACGGCGAATATCGGCGACGATGATCTGAGCCGGTCGTGGGCCTTCCCCAGGTTAACGCGGACTTGAATGAGTACCGGGCGCGGTGCGTACACGTCAGCACTGCGGAGACGAGGGTGGCCAGGCGGGGATGTTGGCCACACCCCAACCCCCTCATAGGTGCGCCGTGCCGGCCGTCTTAGGTGCTGCTCGCCAACTGGCGCTTTCCCCGGCAGCTCCTCTTGCCCCCACCGGTCTGTATGGTTACACGGGGGATCTTTGTCTTTGTGCGGTCAGGGCGGAACACGCGCTGTCGGTGGAGGCCGGAGTGGGCCCGGTAAACCCGCTCGTTCCTCCATCCGTGTCGGACCCCGGGATGTACTCCCCCGGGGGGCGCGGGCCCCCCCAGCCCAGGTGAGGCCACAGCCTGGCGGTCCGCAGGGCCAACGCACCGGTAGCTGGGGACCCCACGGGGAGAGCGAACGAGAGTGGGAGGAGGCCTTGTCGTCAGAACCGTGGAGGACGGTGATAGCGAGGAGTGATTGTGATTAGCGCGAAAGAAGTTCAACAGCCATCCATGTATGTACGTACGTATGTTGAATCGGAGGTGCAGGGGTGAGGACAACAAACTAAGAAGCAGTTCGAAAGAAGTTAGTTTTCAAACTAGATTAAAAGCGCATAGCTCAAGTTGCTTCCTAAATATCGGAAGGGCGTTCCAGACGGCCGCAGAAGCGCATCTGAAAGCGCGCTATGCAGTGAGGGATGAATGGAGGGAAAGCGGGCGAGAGAGGGATGGTGCTAGAGGGAGGGTGAGAGGAGAGAGAGGAAACGGGAGTGAGGGATGGAGCGAGAGAGATAGGGAGAAAAGGGAGAGGAGGAGGGGTAGAGAGGGAGCGGAAGAGAGGCCTACTTGAGGGTCCTTCGAGGCCCCTTGGTTCCACTTACCCTGTCCCGCTGCTGTGCGTGAGTTGGTAGTGGCGTTCCGGTCGGACCTCATTAAACATGCATGCCGGGTTATTTATTCATTCACTCCGCTGCTGCTGCAGCCGCCGCCGCCGCCGGCACGGCCACGGCTGCCGTGGTGGCGTTGCCGACGACTGCTGACGAGTGTGCGAAACCTGCCGTGGCACGCTGTGTTTACTCCGTTCAGGCACGACAACTACGGACAGCCGTACCCGGGGCAAGGCCCCCACCAGGGCCAGCCGCCCTACCCCCCGCCCGGCCAGCACGCAATGTACCAGCAGCAGCAGCCGCAGCCACAGCCGGTAACACACCGATGGGCACGCGCAGCCCAGCCCAACACGACGCGGTGAAGCCCGACACGATTAGGGCTGGCACAGCTCGGTCTGGCACGGCTAGGCCTGGCAATGGCGAGACCCGGCACGACTGGAACACTCCCGGGTTTAGCGGGAGGTGGCGGATGGCAGATCTTTAGGGGTGGTCGATGGACAATGTCAAAGTTAAAAAGAGTCAACCGTTAATTCATGGCACCGTTTATATTAATAAATATAATCACCAAATATACTCACCACACAGTCCCAGATAGCTGAAGCTCGCCAAGCGACGATGTCACGGTGGCCATGTTCTCATGGGGGTTGCTTATCCGGCATCTGATTGGCCGCTGCAGCGTTCGTGCCGATGTCGTCCCTGGCACAAGCGCCGCCACGCCGCCCACGGCGTCGCCATCTCACCGGCTCAGCCGTCGCGTTCCCGTTGAATCGCAACGCGTTTTCTCCCACGATGTTTGGGGCCTCGTGATGATCGCACGCTTTCCCACCCCCCCGGCGGGTCTCACCACGGCGACCCTCGCCAAATGAGGGTTTTCGAGGCAAGCGTCCTCGAAAACCCTCATTTGGCACGCATCGAGCGCTCCAGTGGTGCGTCCCGTGGCCACGCCACGTGCGTGTTTGTTGTTGCTCTGGAGACCAGGAGATCGATGATCGACGTTCGGTCGTAGCGTTGATGGCATTCGCCGTAATTTCTCACTTAACAGAGTGGGCCGCACGAAGGCTGCTGCCATCTTCCGCGGTGTGAGATGATGACGGTGATAGTTAAGCAGCTCGGCAGCGTCTCTCGATTAAAATGAAACTATTTTTGTTTTACCAGGTAAGGGCCACTGAGCTATTAGCTTATTTTTCTCTACGAAGTGGTTTATCACGTGGAAATTTAGAGCAGTCAAATACTCTAAACGTACGTTCATTCTAAATTTGGAGGGAAAAACCAGAGGACCCGGAGAAAAATTCACGTGACCACGGGGAGAATACTACAAATGTGCAGGTGTCAGAGTCTGGATCGAACCCACGACCTCCAGGCGAGGTAGTTAACATCTCGCCACCGTGGCGCTCCAGTTGACCAATTAACCAGACCGCACGGTGGTCGGAGTCTCTCTTCCTCCTCGTCTCCCCGTGCGTCTCCCTGACTCGCTTGCTTCACTCCGTCTCTCCGTCTCGCAGAACTACAAGCGACCCATGGAGGGCATGTACGGCCCGCCGGCCAAGCGGCACGAGAGCGAGGCCTACGGCCTGGCCTACCCGGCCCAGCCGCCCTCCGACCCCTACGCGGGCTACCCCGTGTCGGGGGCCACGGGGGCCTACGGGGACCGCCGGGCGCCCCCCACGCACGCCCCGGCCCCCGCCAGCCAGTTCCCCTTCAGCTACGCGCCACCCGACCGCGCGCCCCCGCAAGCCCCCCAGGCCATCGTGGGCGCCGACTCCGGCCCACCGCCGGCGCAGGGGTCGGCGGGGGGGCAACCGGGCTGGGGGCCGGCGCGCGCCGGGGGGGGGCCGGCGACGGGCGGCCCCGGGGACGCGGCGTACCCCCCCTACCCGAGCCGCCCGCCCTCGCAGGCCCCGCCGTACCCGGGCGCGGCGGGGGGCGGCCGCGGCGCGGGCGAGGACGGGGGGGCCCCCGCGGGGGAGCCGCCGGGCCCGCGGGCGCCGGGCGAGTGGCACTACGCGCAGAGGCCCGCGCCGTACGCGGCGACGCCGGCGCCGCAGCCCCACGGCCACGCGGCGCCGCCCGGCGCCGGCCAGAGGCCCCAGTACCGCACGGCCAGCCCCACCGGGTACCCACAGGTAGGTGGCGCGCTGGCCGCAAGGTGGCCGCACGGTGGCCGCCCCCTCCCCCCCCACCCCAGCTCAACACGGCGCCCCCCGCCGCCGCGACCGCGACCGACCGCGCGTCTCCGTGCCGCCGCCCGTAGGTGTCTCCGAGCAAGCCGCCCTACCTCTCCGCCGGCGGCGTGCGGATGCAGAAGGTGGGGCCCCCCGTGCCGGCGTCGCAGCTGCCGGGGGGCGGGCCCCCCGCGCCGCTCGCTCTGCTGCCCCCCCCACGCAAGGACCCCCCCTTCCCGCCGGGGTGCGTGGAGGCGACGCAGGCGGCCGTGAAGGCGCGCCGCCGCCTCACCGCCAAGGACGTGGGTGAGCAGGGCACGCGCACCGCTCTACGCTCACCGCCGCTCTCCAGGCACCACCGCTCGTCACCGCCGCTGCCTTCGCTCGCGACCGCTCGCCACCGCTCGCCACCGTTCGCCACCGCTCACCGCCGCGCATCGCTCGCCACCGCTCACCCCTCGCCACCCCTCGCCACCGTTCACCATCGCTTCCCGCCTCTCGCCGCCGCTCACCGGCACTCACCGCTGGCGACGGCGCTGTGGGAGGAGCAGGCACCCCGGAGGCGTGGCGGGTGATGATGTCGCTCAAGTCGGGCCTGCTGGCGGAGAGCAGCTGGGCGCTGGACTCCGTCAACGTGCTGCTGCACGACGACACCACCGTCGCCAGCTTCAGCCTCTCGCAGGTGCTGCCGCTACCGCCCTGCTCCACGCCGCCCTGCACCGCACCGCACCACCACCCTGCCTCATGCCACCCTGCACTGCACCTGATACTGTTGATGATAATGGTGATGATGATGATGACGACAACGATAATGACGATGACTGTGATGATGATGATGATGACGACGATGGCAATGATGATGATGATGATGGCGGTGACGAATGATGACGGTGCTGCCGCTGCCCAGCTGCCCGGCCTGCTGGAGCTCCTCGTCGAGTACCTGCGCCGCTGCCTCATCCACATCTTCGGGATCCTGCGCGAGTGCGAGATCGGGGGTCGCGCCGCGTACGACGACGACGACGACGAGGAGGAAGAGGAGGACGAGGAGGAGGAGGAGGACGGCGAGGACGGTGCCACGCAGGACGCGGAGGAGCACGCGGCCGCCTGGGCCGGCCACTGGGTCGACGACGACGAGGAGGAGGAGGAGGAGGAGGAGGAGGGAGAGGAGGACCCGGGTTGGGACGAGGAGGAGCAGGAGGACGAGGATGACGAGGCCTGCCCCGCCGGCCCTACCGACAACGACGACGACAACGACGACAACGACGACGACAACGACGCAGACGGCGGCGGCGCCGCGAGGGCGAACGCCAACGAGCGGCCGCGGCGGCGGCGGGGAGCGGCCGCCCCCCACCGGCCACCGGGGCCGTCCGCCGAGCGCAAGCGCAAGCAGGCGAGCCGCTTCGACCGACGGCCGCTGGCGCTGGCTCTGGAGGACGCGGACGGGGCCTACGTGCTGGACCGCTCGGCCCGCCTGGGCCAACCGCGGGAGTTCGACAGCGGCCTGCAGCACTGGCGGGTGGGCGGCGGCGACACCACGTGCCACATCCAGACGCACTTCGAGCGCCGCGACGAGCGGCCCAGGAGCCCGGCGCCGCCGCGGCAACCGCAGCAGCAGCAGCAGCGGCGACCGGCGCAGCAGCAGCAGCAGCAGCAGCAGCAGAACGGGCCCGTGGAGAGCGCGCAGCCCAACGGCAGCAGCAACGGCGTGCGCGCGGACGGGGAGCCGGCGGGCAGGGAGGAGGGCGACGCGCCGCCCGTGCGGAACGGCACGGGCGGCAAGGAAGCGGCGGAGCGCGCGGCCAGGGGCGGCAGAGCGGCACCGGGCTCGCCCGACGGCGCCGGCCTGGCCCGGGGCGGCCCCAAGCCGGCGGCGAGGGCCGGGAACGACGCGGACCGCGGGCCGCCGGCGTCGTCCTCCAGCAGGCGGGAGACGGCGCAGCGGGGCCAGCGGCAGCAGCTGGGCCAGCAGCGGAAGCAGCAGCAGATGCTGGAGGACGAGCCGCAGGGCCGCGACGAGGCGCCGCTGAGCCGCACGCGTCCCTGGCAGGAGTCGCTGGTGGGGCGCTGCGCGTGCGTCTCCAACATCGTGCGCAGCCTGTCCTTCGTGCCGGGCAACGATGCCGAGATGGCGCGCCACCCGGGCCTGCTGGTCATCCTGGGCCGCCTCGTGCTGCTGTGCCACGTCCACCCCGACCGCCGGCCGCCGCTGCGCCAGTGCCGGCGACCCCCGGCGGACGCCTCCGGCGACGAAGCCGGGGACGGTCGCTGCCCCGCGGCCGCCGGCGAACGGGGACAGAAGGAGGAGCGGGAGGAACCGGCGGCGACGAAGGCGGAGAAACGGCCGGACGCCGACGGCGGCGGCGGCGCCGCGTGCGAGCCCGCCGACGGCGGCGCCGCCGGCAGGACGGAGCGGAGGCCGTGCGGCGGGGGCGACGCGTGGGGGGGGTGGGGGGCGTGGGCCCCGGCGTCCGTGGTGCCCGCCGCCTGGCAGGAGGAGTGGCTGCTGGAGTGCGTGGAGACGCTGCGCGAGAACGCCTTGGTGACGCTCGCCAACATCGCGGGCCGCCTCGACCTGTCGCTCTACGCCGAGAGCGTGTGCCTGCCCGTGCTCGACGGCCTCCTGCACTGGGCCGTGTGCCCGGCGGCCGAGGCGCGCGACCCCTTCCCGTCGCTCGCGCCGTGCGCCGTGCTCTCGCCGCAGCGGCTCGCGCTCGAGACGCTGTCGAAACTCGGCGTGCAGGAGGGCAACGTGGACCTCATCCTGGCGACGCCGCCCTTCTCGCGGCTCGAGTGCCTCCTGAGCGCGCTGGTGCGCTTCGTGGCCGAGCGGCGCAACCCGGTGTGCCGCGAGATGAGCGTGGCGCTGCTCGCCAGCCTCGTGCAGGGCGGCGGCGCCGACGGCGTGCCCGCCCGCGCCGTGGCGCGGCACAAGGGCACCGTGGGCAGCCTCGTGTGCTTCCTCGAGGACGGGCTGATGGCCGCGCTGCAGCAGACGCAGCAGCAGCAGCAGACGCAGTCGGCGCAGCAGCAGCAGCAGCAGCAGCAGCAGACGGCGCAGCAGGGCGGGGGCGGGGGCGGTGGCGGGGCGGCCGCCTCGCTGGAGCCGCCCAGCGTGGACATGCTGCGGCGTGCCGCCGGCGTGCTGCTGGCGCTGGCCAGGCTGGACGGGTGCCGCGCCGAGTTTGTGCTGTACGAGGGCCGGCTGCTGGACATCGCCATGTCGCACATCCTCAACCCCTACATCTCCCCCGTCGTGGCCGACGTGCTTTACGTGCTGGGCCACACGTGACCCCCGCCCCACCCCCCCAGCTACGCGTAGCCCACCCCACCCCGTGTCCCCCGCCGCCCGCCCCTCGCCGGGCCCCGCGTCTCCGTGTTGTCTCGCTCGGGGCCCCGTGGCGTCGCTGCCGGCCAGGCCAGGGCTCGAGTGTCCGGCCTCCTCTCCGCGCTGCCCCGCCCAATTATATTTCCCGCGTCTTAGTTTTGTGGTTTTTAATTTTCCCCGATCGTCGAGTCCAGCGCCGCCACCGTTGCCGCCTTCCGCTGGCAATGCCCCGCCCCAAACCTAGGAGGGGACCGGATCTCCCCGCGGCACTCCCCGAGAGCCGGCGGACGTTCGGGGCGCCGTGCCGGGCGGGCGGGCGAGCGGGCGGGCGGCAGTTGGGATAGAGAGGGCACTTGGCGCGTGCGCCGAGTGTTCACCAGGTCCAGCCAGGTGCCATTTAAAAGCCACGAACAAGGAACTGAAACCCGGCGCGCCCCCCCCCCCCCCCACCCAACCCCCGCGCGGGGCACCCTGCCCTGCGGCCGCTCGGCGCCCAAAGCGCCAGCCAATCGGTACTCCTCCTCCTCGTCGCTAGCGCCGAGCCCTGCGTTTGGATACCGGCCCAGGAGACGTCGCCGTGTATTTAATTATTATTGACGTGGCAGAGTTGAGGTTGTGCGACGCGTGCGTGCGAGCGCACACGTGCTGCCCGTGGTCTGGGGCCCAGAAGGACGCTGCCGTGTGCGTGGAAGGGGGCGGCTCGGTACCCCGAGCCTGCCTACCTGCGTGAGGGGTGGGTGGCTGCGCGAGTGACTGCGTGTGCGCGAAAGAGTGAATGTTTATATGTGTGCGTGTGCGCGGGATTGACTGTGCGTGCATTTCTGCCTTTGTCTAAGCGCGTTCGGGGGTGGGGGGTGATTCCGCGTGCGTGGAGGCGTGCGTGGTGGTGACCTTGCCGCGGACAGCAGTGGGAACCCGGCGCGTCGCCCGTCAGCTTTGTTACGGTGGAACTTTGGAGAGCGCCCAGTGCCAGGCCACGAGGACACAACCCGCGGAGAGCTACGAACCGCCCGGTCGCCGTGGGCCCCCGCGGACGCCGGGCGTGCACCCAGCAGCCCGCGGTGGGGCCGTGGATTTAGAATTTGCGACCACGGCGGCGGTGGTGGCGACGGTGACGGGTTATCCTCATTATTATTATTATAATTATGGTTGTTGGCGCGTAAGCTGGGCGACCGGGCCCCGTTCCTGCCCGCCGTCGTCCGTCGCCCACCACCACCACCACCTGCCCTCCACTCGCGTGCCGGGCGCGGCGTGCTCGCTGTACATACCTGTACATTGCCTACTCCCCCCCCCCACCGCGCCCCCCTTATCATTATTACTACTATCGTTATTATTACTGCGTGTATTTTATTTCACGTCCGTTTATAATTATTATCGTACTTTTCATTTTGTTTTATAAACCCCCTTTTAGAAGGAAGTACTTGTAGCTAGAGTTGTGAGGACTGCTCCCCCCACCCACTCACCCACCATCATACCCCCCCCCCCCCACCATCATCCCCAGTGCTTAATGGTAGGGGGAGGGGCGGAGTCCCCCGTGCCAGTGTACAGCCTCCCTCTTGCGACCACCCAGCGTGCGTCTCCCCCTGCCACGCCACGCCAACCGCGCCCCCCCCCCCCCCAGCGAGAAGATGAGGAACGCGAGAGGGCACCGCTGTTTGGCGCCAGAGTCCTCCGCATCTTTGTATTGCCGAACAGCTCGCCCCCCCCCCCCAGCCCCCCCCCCCCGTGTACATTCTGCCCACAGCGAGGTGACCCCCCCCCCGCCCCTCGCCCCTGCCACCCCGTGCCATTTATTCTTTATGAATCTTTATACTGTATGTCCCCCCCCCCCCCCCCGCCCCCCCCCCCATGGTAAAAATAAATGTACATGAACCGCTTTCTACATGTCCAGTTGTGACCCGGACTCTCCACCCTCATCACCCACGTCTCTTCCAAGTCAGCCCTGGTCCAGCCCTGGGCCGGCCCTTGGTCAGCCCTGGGCCGGCCCTGGGTCAGAGTTGGGCCATTATTGGGTTTCATGTAAACCGCCCTGTCTCCACTGCTGGCCTGATGACTAATAATAATGTCTTAACGAGTCTCAAGACGTGCTTTCAGGAAGCTCCTGTGCTGGGATGTTTGGCCGATTGTCGATGTCGTATTTTGGCTTCGATTGGGAGGAGACCTCCTCCGTGCTTGGAGAGAGAAAACAACAAAACCTCTGCCATGGTGTGACGGTCAGCGTACAGAACTGACCATCCAGAGGTCGCCGGTTCAATTCCATCTCCCGGCGCTGCAGTTGCAACAATGGGGCAGAAATCTCAAATCGTCGTCCCCCCCTCCCCCCCACGCCGAAGCCTCTGTCCACCCAGCGGTGTCAAAGAGGTCGCCGGTTTGACCTCGCGGCGTGGCGGTTGAAAAAATTTGGTGCGATTTTAGTGAATCTCCCCCACCCTGAGGACACCACAGTCGGACGACCGGCAGGTCGCGGGTGGTGGGCTGATTTTGACTTCAAACTTTCGTGACTGCAGGAATTGAGATTCTATGGTTCGTTCGGTAAAAAAAATAGCAATAAAATAAAAGTGAATAAAAAAAGTAATAAAAAATATCACGACGTTTGTTATCGCAACTCAAGCGGCCGTTCCTGATGACGACCACTTGTGTTGCGATAACAAACGTGATATTTTTATTATTTTTTATTCACTTTATTTTTATTATTTTATTCTTTATATCTACGTGACTTTACCGAAAGAACCACAGGATATGGTGATGTAATGTGTAGTTACTCCCATATCTTCCAACACATTTGGCCTGCGTGGAAGAGTAGGCCGATAGTACTCGGGTCTCGATTGGACTCCTTTCTTGTGGTGGCCCTTCTGGCACCAGTGGCGAGGTCAAGAAGTTTCAGGGCCGAGGGAAAAACCGGAGGACCCGGAGAAAAATCCACGCGACCACGGGGAGAGGGAGAGACACCGCAAACTCCAAATATACAGCAGCGGGCGTCAGGGTCGGGATCGAGCCCACGACCTCCTGCATACCAGGCGAGGTTGTTAACATCTCCTAGCCACCGTGGCTTTGCCAACCTGCACTTACCACTGTGGTGAAGTGTGGTCAAATGCCACGTGGATTGAGAAATATGGGTAATGTACATTATTATAACTGTGCCACGGATGGGGACGCGCCCGAGGAGACGGAGTGACGTGTACTGCATGGTTCGTTACATCGTCGCAGGATCGTAAGAGGAGACGGCGGTGAGGGGAAGCCTTCATCCAGCAGTGGATTGACCATGGCTTATGATAATTCTTCATTAACAATTGTATTCAGAAACCAGCCCCCGCGGCTTAGGGGTCGAGTTGCGAGTTAAAATCCTGATTTAGGGATTGACTCTGCCAATCATCCGTGGCGGGGTCGGTAAAATGAATACACAGAACCTCTTCATGGGGGGCAGATGAACAGTGGTCGTCCTATGGATAGACTCGCCCCGTTGTAGAAACGTGCAATTTCCCCCACTGGCTCTGAGATGAGCACCAATGCCTCAACGTTCATTTGAAGACGTCACGTGGTTTTCGTTTATTATGATTCCGCTCGCTTACCCAGGAAAAACTCGAGAGGCTCGGGCCTTCTCAAGTAGGAGTGCCGATGCTGCTGCTGGGGAGCGGTACGCGGAGCCGTGAGCGCTACGAACCCGGCGACCCGAGTTCGATTCCCGCTGGCGGCCACCAACACCAATGACGATTATCTGAATCGGTTCTGGGCCTCCCATAGGTCGATTCGGCTTCAAATGAGTGCCTGGTGTGGTATGTAAACATCGTTACTATGGAGAGACAAAGGCGGTCGGGCGTGGTGTTGGCCACCCACCCCCTCGTGGACTTTGCCGGCCTTCAAAAGTGCTCACTAACAGCACTTGCCCCAACGGTCTGTTACAGGCTATATGGATGATCTTTTTCTTTGTTCTCAACTGCGTAATTTGCAGGTGATTTTTTTTATTCAGCATTGGGGGATCTGGTTTTGGCCGACACCAGTTGGTTACATTGTGTGTGTCATAGTTACATTGTGTGTATGTGTGATAGTTACATTGTGTGTGTTAGTTACATTGTGTGTGTGTATTACACCCAGGACCTTATTCTCAAACCCATAGTGGCCTGGTCTCAGCGAGCTGATGAAAGTTGCAAGAGAGAATTTCATCATTGCTTGCAGCTGGGGTTGGCATCCTCCCCCACTCCTGATGCCGAGGGGAAATGGGCGAGGTTTAGGAATGTGGCTCATGCAGCTGCAATGGCTGCCTTGGGTACACGGTCCAGACCTCCCCAGAGACCCTGGCTAGGAGGTGTTCAGGCTGGCTGAGAAAAAGCATCTACCGCATCCCACGTCAGAGAATGAGGAGGCTTACCGCAGCCTTAGCTCGGAGGTTCGGAGAGCCTTGAGGCGCCGCAAGGATGGGTGGTGGTCGCGGGTTGCTGAGGAGATGGAGTCTGCCTCAATGGCCCGCGATCACAAATCCCTATTTAACTCCATCAAAAAAGTAACCTGCAGCGCCACACCTATTACCATCATTAGGGGAAAGGACGGTGATCCAATCTCCGACCCCCAGGAACAGGTTTGCAGATTTGCTGAGCATTTATGTGAGGTCCTGGGGAAGGGGGAATCCCTCAGCGTGGAAAACATAATAGGACAAAGTGGGGATGATCCTGCTGAGGCTGCAGTGCCTCAAAAATTGGAGGAGAAAGTCACCCCCTGTAAGTGGCTGGCTGAGGTGCCATCCATTGAGGAAGTACTGAAGGCGATCCAGAGTCTGAGATCAGGAAAACTACCGGGCAGAGATGATCTCCCAAGCAAAATGCGTTTGTGCACAGACTGCCCTACATGACATAATAACTGTCTGGACCACTGGACGGGTTCCGCAGGATTGGAAGGATGCCCTGGTGGTCCCCCTCTTTAAGAAGGGGGACCGCACAGACTAACAACTACAGGGACATCTCACTCCTCAGTGTGCCGGGAAAAGTCCTGGCAAAGATTATTCAACATCGCCTTGCTAGGCACGCTGAGGAGAGGCTTGCGGAGCCCCAATGCGGTTTCAGGAAAGGGCGGTCCTGCACAGATGCCATATTTTCTGTCCGTTTGCTACAGCAGAGATGTAGGGAATTCCAACAAGACCTACATCTCTGCTTCATTGACCTGGTCAAGGCCTATGATACCATCAGTAGGCCTGAGCTCTGGGTTGTTCTTCGTGCTTTCGAAGTCCCTGACCCTCTGCTCACGCTCATTAAGGACCTTCATGATGGTGAGCAGGCCCGGGTAAAACTACGTGGCCGGGAGTCAGAGCCATTCCCTGTACACCTTGGGGTGCAACAGGGATGTCCTCTGGCTCCAACATTATTTAACATCTATTTCGACCACGTAGATCATGAAGCCTTCAGTAGCTGTACCGGAGGAATTTCCATCTGGTACAGATACAATGGGAGACTGATCGATGCCTGGGTGCGGTCAAGGGATGGCTCCCTATTGCTCAACCACGTTATGCATGCCGATGATTTGGTAATAGCTGCTCATTCAGAGCAGGAGTTGGAGACTGGAGCGTGCCACTTAGAGATGGGGCCTTACCATCAGCCCCACCAAAACTAAGCACCTGCCTGGGTATTTTGTACCATCGGACACTCCACCCCCAAATCTCCCAATCGGTGATGGGGCAGTTGTGGAGAGAGTGGAGAGTTTCACATACCTGGGCAGTGTGCTTATGACCGGCTACAGTTTAACAGCAGAGGTCTCACTCCGAATCAGTCGAGTGGCATTATCTTTTCTTCGGTTGCGTAACGCTGTGTGGAAGCTACCTGGTCTGTCGCTCCGCACGAAGCTTCGGGTCTTCTCGGCCAAGTCATTCCTTCCCTTCTCTACGCTTGTGAAACATGGACCCCCCTAATGGAATATCTTCGCCGGTTGGAAGCATTTCGGCTGGCCTGCCTACGATCAATCCTGGGTTTAACCAGGCTGGATTGTGTGAGCTCACAAATCCTTGAAAGATCTGGGCAAGGTCCCATCGGTGAGCTCCTCCGGCAGGCAAGGCTGCGTTGGCTGGGTCATGTAGCCCGCATGCCCAGCCACCGCATGCCGAAACAGCTTTTGTTCGGCCGGATCGAAGGGGCTAAACGGGCGCGGCACGGGCTAGAGAAGAGATGGAGTGATGTGGTACAGGAGGACGTGGAGCTGAGTGGACTTGCCGATGACTGGTACCAGCGGTGTCAAGATCGGCCTCTGTGGAGGAGGCTCGTGAAGGACGCTACTGGACAGTTGGAGGCTGTCACCCTCCAACAACAGCGGAGGGCGGATGAGCGATGCTCACAACAACGAGCAGAGCTCCGGGTGGCTAAAGCACAGCAGGTTGGCACAGTAGGGAGCATAGGTGGTGCATCAGCCAGTCATCTCGGTCATCTCAGTCGACCCGTGGCACCTGGGTCTGCCCCGTGACCTCCTGCCAGCCGGCGTTCGACACTTCACGTGGCCTCAAGGTGCACATGGCCTGGCACAAGCGTCGTGGTGACATCACCGCCACTTCGTGGCAAATGGCGATTGTTGTTACAGTGTGTGTTACAGTGTGTGTGTTACAGTGTGTGTGTTAGTTACATTGTGTGTGTTAGTTACATTGTGTGTGTGTTAGTTACAGCGTGTGTGTGTTAGTTACACTGTGTGTGTGTGTTAGTTACAGTGTGTGTGTTAGTTACATGTGTGTGTGTGTTAGTTACATTGTGTGTGTGTTAGTTACAGTG